TATTGAACTTTGACTGTGGTTTTAGTTTTCATTTTCCTCCTGGGTATTGTCCATCTTTCCATTTGAGTGCATTTATTTATTTATTTATTTATTTATTTAGGCAGTGGTCAGTATTTACTCCTGATTCTACACTCTGGGATCTTTCCTGGTGGGGCTTGGGGGACCAATGTGGTTTCTGGGATTGGACCCAAGTTGGCCACATGCAAAGCAAGCACCTTACTCACTGTACTATTGCTCTGGCCTCAAAGTTTGGGTGTTTTTAAAGCAATGCCATAGTATGTGCTTTATGTGCTTTGGAAATGATTATTTACCAAAAGCTGGAGCGATAGCACAGCGCGTAGGGCGTTTGCCTTGCACGCAGCCAACATGGCCCACCCAAGTTCGATTCCTCCGCCCCTCTCGGAGAGCTCGGCAAGCTACCGAGAGTATTCGATATGCCAAACAGTAACAACAAAGTCTCCAATGGAGACGTTACTGGGCCCGCTCGAGCAAATCGATGATCAACGGGAGGGCCTTTACTTTACTTTACTTTACACAATCAGGGGCAAGGGTGGTAGGTAGCATTGATCTAATATTTCAATACTGCTGACCAAGCCATAGTTGGAAAGTAAATCAGTTGCGTAGGCTCTTCTATTTCCCAAAGTTAGTGAACTAGTGATTTGGATTATTCTCCCACATTTCCTGACCCCACACACATGATCAGCCTGGTCTTTAGTATTTGTCTTAGTACTAAAGGGAATTGAGATCTCCTGGGGGCTCTGAGCTGTCTCTAGGCACTGAAACCAAGCCCAGAGTGAAACCAAGCCCAGCCCTCTACAGATGAAGCTGTGTGTAGCACCATTGAACAAGGCTGCAAAAGCTGCCAAGAGTCGCATCAGTTCATGAGATGTGTGGGCACTCTCTTACTTACAGGAGAACTGGGGAGAGATTCTGGGGGACTAGTTCAATGGAATGAGAAGCAGAAGCAGCCCCTGAGCATTGCCAGATGTGGCCCCCAAACAACCTTCACCCTCTACAAACAAACAGAAAACAACAGGGACACTCTGCAGGAGCCTCTTGAAGGTTGAGGTGCAGATGGTCAGGGAGAATTCTGCATCACAAAAAAATTCCAGCCCAGGGCATCCCTCCTTTAAAACACTGCATGGTCCATGGCTTGGAGGCCAACCACACACTCTAGGGGAAAAGGGAGCTCAGATAGAGAAAGGAGCACCAAATAAAGGTTGTTGGGAGGATCCTCCTAAGATGGGAGAAGCATGCTGAAAGTAGACTATAGACCAAACATGATTGCCACTCAATTCCTCTTTTGCAAATCACAACACCCAAAAGGAGAGAGAGAGAGAGAACAAAAGGGTATGCCCTGCCACAGAGGCAGGGTGGGATGGGGAGAAAAGGGGGGGTGGGAGGGATACTGGGATCTGTGGTGGTGGGAAAAGGGCACTGGTGGAGGGATGGGTGTTTGATCATTGTATAAGTGAAACCCAAGCACAAAAATGTGTAAGTCTGCAACTGTACCTCATGATGTCTCACTATTAAAAAATTAAAAAAAAAAAATAAAACACTACATGGGTAACCTTGGGCCCAGAGGTTAGGAAGCAGAAGAGAAAATAGTGAAAGAGAGCAGGAGAAGAGACAGATGAGAAGCAACTGGGGCCAGGGCAAGGAAAGGTACAAAGGGCCAGGTACAAAGATGCTGCTAAGGAATGATAGAGTCAAATATCCAAACCACACCAACAACACTGAAATCAAGAGACCCACATTTTAGCAACCAAACTTGAGAAAGCTGCCTGTCAATAGGGCAAGCTGGGAGGGTCATGGGAGGCAACCTGGGAACACTGATGGAGGAAAGATGACACTGGTGGTGGGGTGGGTGCTGCTGTATTGTATGTCTAAAACTCAGTTATGAATCACTTTGTAAATTATAGTGCTTTAATTTTAAAATGTGAGAAAAATTAATAAAATGCATGTGTGTGTATATATATGTATATATACATATATATATATATTACACACACTCAATTCCGGGCCAGTTTTTATTTATTTATTTATTTATTGCTTTTTGGGTCACACCCGGCGATGCACAGGGGTTATTCCCGGCTCATGCACTCAGGAATTACTCCTGGCGGTGCTCGGGGGACCATATGGGATGCTGGGAATCAAACCCGGGTCGGCTGCGTGCAAGGCAAACACCCTGCCCGCTGTGCTATCACTCCAGTCCCCCGGGCCAGTTTTTAGTGAGAACTAGAATCCACCTATTCAATTCTTAGCACCAGAGCACCCTGGTTTGAACTGTAAATGGGGATAGGGGTGAGGTGAGGTGTTGTCTGAAAGACTGGGACTTCTGCAAGCCTCATCTGCGACTCTTCGTTCTCCCCACTGAGCTACTTGAGCTCAAGGGCTGAGCTGCTGGAGTCTGCAGGGAAGCCAGCTGGAGAGCTCACAGCCCAGTTCTAACCGGAGCTAATGACACCCTCAGGCTCCACAATTCTCCCAGCAGCTCAGCCCGTGGGTTGGGTAATTCTAATGCACAGGTGTAAATCTTGCAAGATAAATCACATCCTCATATCTTGTTTCACTTAGCTTATTTAGTCCTTCCCAGAGCCTGGCTGAACTGTAATGATGCGAGGGCTAATAGGACCCCGAAGAGCTCCTGGAGGTTAGGAAGATTGTTCTGTTACACACACTTGCTTGTGCAGCTGGGTGTTAAGCAATAGCTGCTCTGGAAATGTCTTGGGTTTCTTCAGGGCATGAAGGGTGGCTGGTGGTTTGTTGGTCCCAGCTGTCTGTGTGTGCTGCACTGCTTAGTCACAGCCTGGAATACCAGTGTGGTTTGCGTTACCAATTCTGCAGAGCTGGTAGGGAATGAAACACCAACAGTGGCAGGAACTTCTCAATGTTATTCTACAAATTCCAGGAGAGGAACCACAGAGATAGTGTAATGGGTAAAGTGCTTACCTTCTACTCAGCCAACCCAGGTTCAAATCCCAGCATCCCATATGACTCCCCAGAGCACTGCCAGGAATGCAGAGCCAGGAATAATCCTTGAGCATCACAATGTGTGACCCCAAAACTAAAAAAATCAAGAAAAAAAGATTCTGGGAGAGTGAAAAATATCCCATAAATAAAGACTGTTACTACAGCTTTGCTTGGAGAGAAAATTGCAAGTGATCTTAATGTTGACCAAAAGAAGAGTGTCAGAATAAACAAACAAGAATTAAGAATCGAAGAGGCAACAATTAAGAGGAATGAAGTAGATCTGTACATAATGACATGGAAATATATGCAGAGTTTTTAAACTTTGTTTCTTACTTCAAGGGTTACTGTGATTTACACTGTGGTTTATTTTTGTCACAAAAATATACATGTAAACCAATTTTAAAAAATGATGATTGGGGCTGGAAAGATATTAATGCAGGTTAGGTGCTTGCTTTGCTGGTGACCAATCCAGGTTTAAGCACTGGCATCACATGGCCTGAGCACAGAGGCAGGAGTAAACCCTGAGTACAGCCAGCGGTGGCCTGAAACAAAAAAAAAAATAGTAGAAGAAGAAGAAAAAAAGAAAAGAAGGTGACTCATGTAACATAAAAATATTCTAGGGGCTGGAGTGATAGCGTAGCGAATAGGGTGTTTGCCGTGCATGTGGCCAACCCCAGTTCAATTCCCAGCATCCCATATGGTCCCCTGAGCACCATCAGGAGTAATTTCTGAGTGCAGAGCCAGGAATAACCCCTGTGTATTTCCAGGTGTAACCCAAAAAGAAAAAAAAATTCTAAAGTGAAGTGGTGAGTCAAAACTCCATGTTTGGCAAATAAGAATTCTGACTTGAGAAATAATGTAATTAATATGATTAAGGTTTTAAGTTTTAGGTGGTTTGAAGTGGGATTTGAATTTAATTCCACCCAATTGCAATGCAGTACGAATTAAGTTCCAAAGCTCTATATTGGTAATGTGTGTAAACAAACAAACAAAAATATCCTGTGAAATGAGCCAATGAAACAAAACTCCATAAAGGCCGACAGTTCACAAGTCCTATTTAGTTTCTGGAACAGTGCCCATTCTGAAAAATGGGGGTAAAAGTTAGTAATGTCCCTGTACTAAGGTAGATGTTAATGAATGGACCTGGTACCTAACAAGAAGTTTTATTTACTCTTCAGCAAATCCTTCAAGATCTGTCATTTGATGCCCATAATACAGCTAAAAGTGAAATAGAGACTTGTAAAGATGGAGAGGTTTCCTAAGGCCATAAAATTGGTACCTAAGAGAGTTCTAGAAACTCACACCTAAAGACTCCTCAAAAAGGTTTTCCTTATACTACATTGTCTCTTTGTGGATAATAGCATCTGCTCGTGGATCTCAGAGGTTGCCTTAAATTTTACCCAGAGAAATTCTACAGTTCCAGGAAGCTGCTTTTAAGATGGCACCCAGAGGCTGGGGAGTTAACACAAAGGGCCAGAACATGCAAGGCCCCAAGTTTGATTCCTGGCCTCCCATTCTCCCCATTCCCTTCCCAAATTCTCAGGTATGACTCTGTTGCCCCTGTAATCCATTGTTGCCACAAACTTCAGATCTGCAACTTCCTGACTCAGTATTACTGAATAGATTCCTGGGGCCCAGGCTTTCTGGGGAGGCACCCTCTCAAATAAAATAAAATGACACCACATAGCTTCTAAAGTGGGTCATTCAGAGGGCCCCTCTAGGTAAGGATGTTTTGAGAACAACAAGCTCTGGCAGCCCCTTATAAATGCAAAGTGGTAATTATGATTGCTGATGACAACTTCATTTTCTTGGAATGGGCTAAACTAAATGCTTGGGTGAATATTTTCTTTTGATGTATGGGTACATGCATTCCTGGGTGTTTCTTGCATTCAAGTATATGAACGGATGGTGTTGGCTCATTGGCACCAGCAGGTTTATCTGGCACTCTGGATATCCTGATGCAGGCAGCTGCATGACCCTGCTAAGAACCACATCAGTGACAGACTTGCGTCTTTCTCATTTCCTAGGCATCAGCAGCAAAGGCCTTGGTGTGTGCGGCTGGATCCTGTTTTCCCTTTCCTTGCTGTTGATGATCATTACCTTCCCCATCTCCATATGGATGTGCCTGAAGGTAATGCCCTGGGAAATAAATTGGGCTCGCTATAGGAACTGATGAACCATTAAGACTAAATGCTCTCCCTTAATCTCTTAGATCATTAAGGAGTATGAACGTGCTGTTGTATTCAGATTGGGACGCATCCAAGCTAACAAAGCCAAAGGCCCAGGTAGGAGAACTCTGTGCTTATTCCTGACAATAGTAGCCACCCCGTTACTATTAACGCTGCCACCAGTATCTTCGTTAGCAGAACCACTTGAGAGGCAAAAAACAAACAAACAAACAAACAAACAAAAACTTATGGGAAGCCTTTGACTTTCTGTACACATGCAAGAGGTTGCACAATTGTGCCAATTAACAGGGCTGTCCACTAGACCGCAAGTTAGAGTTTGGAATCTGGGTCTATTTTTCGACACTCCAGTGAGCATGTCAGTGAACAAGAGCTAACCTGGTTACATTGACTGAATGTCAGTTGTTTCCAGGATCACTGAAGCAATGAAGAAGGAATGGGGGTAGGAAGAAAAAGATTAAGGTTGATGATAAGACCAGGGAGACAGCTCAATGGACTGAGCACATTCTTTTTCTGCAGCATTTTGGTTTGATTCCCAGCACTATGTATTACCTGAGTTCCACTGGGAGTAACCCCTAGCACACTGCCAGATGTAGCTTAAACCCCTCTGCAAAGAAACTCTCCAAACCCCAGTATAATAAGGCTGATGATTAAGTTACTAAGGGAAAGGAAATCCCAGGAGCTGATTTTTTAATTTTTACTCTGAAAAATAAAAGATAATTTCTGTTCTCAGTAATTAGATTAATAAAAATGTAGAGATGGAAAGCATTATTTAAATCCTTTGGTCACATATAGCATTTATTTCTATTCCTTTCTAGAAATAGTAGTTCTTCTATAACTTAGAATGAAAAATGTTCCTAATCACTCATGTTCTAGAAAGATGGGATTTTGGTTGGGGTCAGTGGGCATACAAGGTACTATACCTCCTTAAAAGTAAGATATTGACTAGTCCTAACTTTAGAGTATTTTTACTGGACTTACTTGAGTGTCAGCACTTGTTTTTGACTCATAAAACATAATGGCAGTTTCATCTGATAAGCCATAATAGTCTTGAATGGAGAGGTAATTGAAGCGATGTCTTAAGAAGGCCCCATGGAGAGACTAACACCCAAGAATAGTAGTGCTAGGTACCAGGAGGTTTGCTCCATGGCTCAATGGTTTGCTTCAAGGTTGGAAGCTAGCCTTACATGCTGGGGGAAAAGACAGCTCAGATAGAGACGGGACCACTAAGTGAAGGGTGTTTGGAGGACCCGCTAAGTATGGGAGATGCGAGCCGAAAGTTGACTATGGACCAAACACAATGGCCACTCAATATCTCTATTGCAAACTACAACACCCAAAAGGAGAGAGAGAACAAAAGGGAATGCCCTACCACAGAGGCAGGGTGGGGGAGGGGGCTAGGGTGGGCATGGTGGGAGGGATACAGGAATCAGGTGGTGGAGAATGGGCACTGGTGGAGGGATGGGTACTCAGTCACTGTATGACTGAAACGCGAGCACAGAAGTTTGTAAGTCTGTAACTGTACCTCATGGTGATTCACTAATAAAATTTTTAAAAAAATTAAAAAGAAGAGCCCATGAAAAACAGTGGTTGTCAGATGGAAGTATGCAATGACATTTGTTTTCTTCCTTCTTTAAGGGTGCATCTGAGTAAAGCTATTATCTCTCTAATTTAACTGAAATGTGTACTCAGCACTTGATCACATACTGTAGTCAGTTTTGGAATATCTGTTACGTAAACAACTATGAGAAACTCCACAAGGAAAAGTCTGTTAAAGAGATGTGGCCATTTCCAGTGGTACTTCTCCAGTTTCCTAAGAGGCCTAAGACAAAGAGGGCAAGAAATAATAAGTACTTAACACAGCGGTTCTTGTCAGTTTGTCAAGCAGAAATATTAGAATCGTCGGACTGCAGAATGGTAGAACTAGGATAACTACCTCCTAGTAATGTTAAATCTTGTGAAGAAAACATTATAAGCTAGAATAAAATTGGATTGGTAAGAGGTAGACTAACTCAGAGGACTATCAAGAAAAGTGTATCTTTTTAATGAATTTTCCCAGAAGATTTAGCACTCAATGTCCCAGGATAATTACTCTCGTCATATGTGTCTCTGGGGTTGATGAGTTACCTCAGTATATCCAAGGAGCCTATCCAAGGGAAAAAAGCCAAATTGCTAATGAAAACCTCTCCACTTTCATAAATTAGCACTGTAGCACTGTAGCACTGTCCTCTCGTTGTTCATCGATTTGCTGAAGCGGGCACCAGTAACGTCTCACAACAAATTGTGAGACTTGTTGTCACTGTTTTTGGCATATCGAATACGTCACAGGTAGCTTGCCAGGCTTTGCCATGTGGGCAAGATACTCTTGGTAGCTTGCTGGGCTCTCTGAGAGGGGAGGAGGAATCAAACTTGGGTTGGCCTTGTGCAAGGCAAACGCCCTACCTGATGTGCTATCGCTCCAGCCCTTCATAAATTACTCCTTTATAATGAAAGTGCCAGTAATAAGAGCTGCCACTTCTTGACCATTTACTACAGTATGTTTATACTGTATTTCATTATCATGTTAAACTAGGCTAAATCTTCATGACCATCTTAAGTATCTTAGGTAGTGGAGGCTCAGAAAGGTTTGGTGACTGTTCCCATGTCTCTGGCTAGAAAGTGGAAGACCTCAAGGACCATATTCTTCCTCAGTGGCCTGACACCCAAACTGTGGTAAATTAGGCATTAATCCCTCTAAGAATTCAGAAAAGTTTAGAGATCAAAAGGAAGAGAGAACCTTAGTATGGAGATTAACTAAGCAGGTGTTTCTTCTCTGGAAAAAAAATAGCACAATAATAGCAATAGAATAGAAGTGGAATAGTCTCTGCATCTTATGGGTGAATTTTGTGATTGTAGAATTGCAGAACTGTCCTCCCAGTGTTCATCGATTTGTTTGAGCAGGCCCAGTAATGTCTCCATTGTGAGACTTGCTGTTACTGTGTTTGGCATATCATTCACCAGGGTAATGTTAAGGAGTCACCAGTTGCTGAAATGAGTTTTTTCTCAACCCCAGCTTTCCCTTTGAAGCTTTCCCCGGCTTCAAACCAAATACTTCACACATCAGAGAGAGGTACATGTATTTACAATCAGGGACCCCCATTATATCTGAGCTATAAGACAGCTAAGGGAAAACTGTGAGTTTTACAGTAGATTGGTCATAGAGTCTCGAATCCTAAGATTTTTATTTCCAATGCTCTTTCAGTCTTATTGAAAAATAAATGAAAGTTGGCATTATGAGTATTCAAGGTCCAAACAAATCTATTACTTGAAACCTCTATCGAGATGCTTTTAATATGGGGCAGCTGATTTCCAAAATAACCTTTCCAATTAACACAAAATCAGCACTTGGATAGAAGTAAATTAAGCATTTTAAAGATAAAATCAAATAACGACAGATCAAAAGTCTTTAATCTCTTCCCAAAAGATTTCAATTCCTAAGGAGCTTTCCTGATGAGTCATTGATTACTGGAAATCATATTCCCTAAATTTATAGGTATACACGTATTGAAGGTAAATGAAAAGCATTCATAATCTTATGAATATAGTATGAGAAATGTCTGAAACGTAGCTCAGAAGTGAAGCACATGCCTTGCATATGTGAAGCCTTGTGTCAGTCCCTGGCACAGCAAAGAACTGGAAGACAGTTAATGGTAGTTATTTGCAAAAGGGTAAACTTTTAAACCAAACTTCCTTCTTCTTAGGTTTGATCTTGGTCTTGCCCTGCATCGATGTGTTTGTCAAGGTTGATCTCCGAACTGTTACTTGCAATATTCCTCCACAAGAGGTAATGATGTTTTTTGGTGAAAGGTATTTTTCCTGGAAATAACACCCTTATCTTATACCTTAAAAGGACAACCGCATTTTCACGGCATTTATTTTTATCTATATGGATAAGGGTGAACTGAATTCCCAAAGATCTTTTTCAGGGCTATAACTCCTGAAATCACTGACCTTCATTTTGCAAATAATAATGAGGGGCCAGAGAGATAGTACAGTGGTTAAGGCACTTGCTTTTTATGTGACCGACTCTGGTTTGTTCCCATAACTGCATATGATTCCCTGAGTACCCTGAGCACAGAACCAGGACAAGCTCCTGAACATCATGGGATGTGGTTTATCCCCTCTAGAAAAATCAACATATATGAATAAATACGATTGTTCTCCTTCTGGCCCAGGAAATGCAATCAAGACATCCCAAATAGCTGTCTCTATGCTTTTGGATGAAACCATAGACCTTCCTTTAGAATCCAACCGCTCATAAGCAACTCTCGATGCTTTAACACAGTAAAGGCTTTCTGGCTCTATAGCAAAAGTAGTAGGTGGGAGAAAAGACCTCTAGTTTCCACACCCTGAACTCTCAGCACTTTTCAGTTTCTCCAAAGCACCTCATCATATTGTTCAGAGTGATTAACACAAAGCTTTTGTACAAAACCAAATGGATTTTTCTCCACTGGAAATAGAGCATGGTCTTTGGTGCTTATCTATATTTTCTGAGGCACTGCTGGTGATGATAAAAACTGGAACCCAAGAGGAGTTTGGGGGTCAGGAATGAGATGTTCTACCTCTCTCTGGAAGGTATAATTGAAGAAAGGCTCTATTGTTACTTTATAAAAGGGGAGTGCCTATTCTTGCTGGAAGACCAAGAACTTTGATGACCTTCCTGGGATGGGCACCACTTGTGTGGAAATTCTGTTTTCAACTGGGATGATATTCTATTCCAGACAGGACAGAATTGTGACTGCTGGTATCAGTTGTCATTATCACTCTACATTTTTGGGAAGGCTTCTTGGGACAGCATTGCCAATTGTTGTACATCACAAATGGATTTTCCCTGTTCTTCTCTTCAGATCCTCACCAGAGACTCTGTGACAACGCAGGTGGACGGAGTCGTCTATTACAGGATCTACAGTGCCATCTCAGCGGTGGCTAATGTCAACGATGTGCACCAAGCCACGTTTCTGCTGGCTCAGACCACCCTGAGAAATGTCTTAGGGACACAGACTTTGTCTCAGATCCTATCTGGCCGAGAAGAGATTGCCCATAGCATCCAGGTAAAGAATGTGGATTCGGCATCTTTCCTTCTTTCCTTTTAAAACTCAGTGATTATCAGATGTCAGCAGTTCTCAGCAATCCTCCGTGTTGTGGACATATGTATACATATATGCACATATGTGCACGTACACACACACACACACACACCTACTTCAGAACAATAGCTTCCAACTTATGATTTTGTTTCTTTACAATCATGAGACAAAATTTAAATATCTGCATAGGAGAAGGGGTTGTTGGAATTATGATTCTCTTTCCTTTCTCTGGCTTTCAGTGTTTGTAACATTGTAGCATTGGCATCAGCATTGTTACACCTTGGCATTTCCTGAGGAGCATAGATACCAGCTTTATTTTTAGTTTAGCTCACTCCAGAAACGCTGCCATTTCTCATGCAGCAGCTATATTCCTAGATTTCAGCACCGAGTGGGATTAGAATAGGGGTCAGCTGAGACTACATAGCCTGGTCATCACTGAACAATCTGACTGATGTGCTCATCAGTATCAGTGATAAGATGGAAAGTAACCACAATTGTAGAATTGATAAAGACGAACCCTAGATTCATCTCACACGTCATACTTGCTTTAATTTATTTTGTTTCTTTTGTTTTGGGGATCACACCCAGCGATGCTCAGGATTTAGTCCTGGCTCTGTGCTCAGGGATCACTCCTGGCAGGCTTGGGGGACCATATGTGGTACCAGGGATTAAACCCTGGTAGACCACATGCAAGACAAATGCCTAACCACTATACTATCACTCTGGCTCTGCATACTCTCAGTTTTAGGTATTCTCATCTGTATTTACTTTTCCTTCCTTCCTTCCTTCCTTCCTTCCTTCCTTCCTTCCTTCCTTCCTTCTTTCCTTTTTCTTCTCTTTCTCTCCCTCCCTCTCCTTCTCTGCCTTTCTTTATTTCTTTGAAATTTTATTGTTTCACTGGTACAACAAACAAGAAACCCAAGAAATGATATATTTTCCCCTACAACTTCTGTGTTTTCTTCTATTAGATACGTCTGCTTTTGAGATCTCCTTTAGTCCTTTAGGGGGATTTACCTCTGATTTTTCTTAACATGTGAGGCCTGGACGGGCTGGAGCGATAGCAGGGCTGGAGCGATAGCACAGCGGTAGGGCGATTGCCTTGCACGCAGCCAACATGGCCGACCCGAGTTTGATTTCTCCGCCCCTCTCGGAGAGCCCGGCAAGCTACCGAGAGTATCACGCCCGCATGGCAAAGCCTGGCAAGCTCCCCGTGACGTATTCGATATGCCAGACACAGTAACAACAAAGTCTCCAATGGAGACGTTACTGGGCCCGCTCGAGCAAATCGATGATCAACGGGAGGGCCTTTACTTTACTTATTACTTTTCTTAACATTACCTTAGGCCTCTTATGTGCATAGCATGAAATGCCCTTCCCCCCGTCCCCCCGTCCCCCATTTTCCAGTGATGGTATGAGTTCTGCATTATTACTCTCCACATCACGGGTAGGGGGGCCATGGCTTATACACCCTCCATGTTTCCATGATTGGCTCAGAGCGAGGTTTTCCACCCCCAGGACTTCTACAAGGATTCCAGAAAGGCAAAGGATCACTTGATATTACATTAGGCAGCCTACATCTCTCCCCTCTCCTTTGAGGGAACAGCGTTCTCGTTCTTACCGTCTAAAGGTGTTCCTTATCATCCCTCCATGACCACAATTACCAGCAAGACTGCTTTAGTGGGTTTCCACTTTTACAAGGGAAGAGAATGTGACTGTTCTTTCCCTAAGAAGTATGATATAGGAACGAGTCAAAAAAACAAAAACAAAAACAAAACAACAATTAAAACACACTGACACACACACAACACAACATCGTGTCTGGGAAGATGATTCCAGGGACTGAATGTGTGACTTGCATGCAAGGGGCCTGGGTTCTCTGCTTGACAAGCACGACCAGGAGCAATTCCTAAGCATTGAGCTGGGTAAAGTCCCTGTATACTTCAGGTTGTAATCCTCATTCATCCCTTTGCCCCTCCACCAAGTAAGCATGCCTTGCTATCTATTGCTCACAGGGTAGAGGTGTAAACAGTAAAAGATAAATAATATTGAAAAATAACCCAATAATATTTAGTGAATCATCACCAGACATGGTAACTGGTGTTCCATACAACACTGTAGCGCTGTCCTCCCGTTGTTCATCTATTTGCTTGAGCAGGCACCAGTAGCGTCTCCATTGTGAGATTTGTTGTTACTGGTTTTTAGCATATCGAATACGCCACGGGAAGCTTGCCAGGCTCTGCCGTGCGGGCAGGATACTCTCGGTAGCTTGCTGGGCCCTCCGAGAGGGATGGAGGATCGAACCCGGGTTGGCCTTGAGCAAGGCAAATGCCCTACCTGCTGTGGCTATCACTCCGGCCTGGTGTTTCATGTAAGTTCCTCAAACTTCATACTAATTCTGGAAGAAAACTTCTTCTGGGCAAGAAGAAAGAGAAAACCAGGGAAGCTAAGTATCCATCTAATGATTTGCAGCTATGAATGGCAGACTCAGCCCCTGCCCAAGTCTGGCTGAGAAACCCACACAATACTGACTGCCTAGTGTTAGTGACAGAGTACTGGGGTATGGTGCCCCAAATCTAAACGCACAGTACAGACTGTAGTAGAGATGTTTTAGAAGTGTATTCTGCCAAGAGACCATCCATGAAACAGCTTTCCTGGTTTTGTTCTTAAAATTTTCCTGGGATTGGGGCTGGAGCGATAGCACAGAGGGTGGGGTGTTTGCTTTGCATGCATCCCACCCGGGTTCGATTTCCACCATCCCATATGGTCCCCTGAGCACCGCCAGGAGTAATTCCTGAGGGCAGAGCCATGAGTAACTCTTGCATATTGCCTGGTGTGACCGAAAAAAAAAATAAAATAAAAATAAAATTTGCCTAGGAATTGTTTTTGTTTTTATTCTGAGAGCTTTAGTGATGCCTTTAAGCTCAAGTTTCCCATTCCGTGGTAGAAATACAGGCAGAGTGAAACAAAAGGGCTTTCCTGTACCTCTCAGAATGCAGGTTCTTTCCGACTGCTGACCATGTCCTCTCTTTTCACACAGACCTTACTCGATGATGCCACGGAGCTGTGGGGCATCCGTGTGGCGCGTGTGGAAATCAAGGATGTGCGGATCCCAGTGCAGCTGCAGCGGTCCATGGCGGCAGAGGCCGAGGCCACTCGTGAAGCCCGGGCCAGGGTGAGCGCTCCCCCACGGACTTCGACGGCAAACCACCATGTCCGGAGCAAAGATAGAGTTGGCTCAGACAATTGATTGCGTCTCTACTCTTTTGATAGAAAAGGGGGTTACTGGGTCGGAGAGCTTGCATTGTGGATGAGTTCATGTCTTGGGCAGAGGCTTGAGCCCTGAGCACCATAGTTCCTGAGCACCAAGCCAGGAGCGATCTTTGAATACTGAGCTGGAAGAAGTCCTGAAACACTGCTGGGTGTGACTCAAAGCCAAAAACAAAACAAAACAAAACAAAACAAAACAACACACACACAGAAAAAGGAGATTCATTCAGGCATTAAATATTTAAATTCCAAACTCACCAGTGTCTGCATCTTCCAGCAGTGACCTTTTCATTTAACATTTCAAATAGTGCATGTATGAAAGATTTTTCTTAAAAGATAAAACAACTATGGTATGAGCCATGTAAAATTATTTTCCATTCTCTCATATATACAGTTGTCCCCCCTTCTCCTCTGGGGATATGTTAAATAATGCTCAAGTGAATGCCTGAAACCACATATAAGACTGAATCCTATATACTACTATATGTTTTTCCCAGATAAAACTTACCTAGGAAAAAATTCAGTTTATGAATTAGGCATGTTAAGAAATGGACAAGAATAACTAATCATTCACCATCACGACCATCCTGTTGTTCGTCGATTGCCTCGAGCAGGCCCCAGTAACGTCTCCTTCATCCTAGCCCTGAGATTTTTAAAAAGTACCATATTCAAGGCTCTTTCAGGGTTAGGAGAAGGAGACCCATCATTGTTACTGGTATTTGGCATATTGGGTACGCCACGGGGAGTTTGCCAGACTCTGCCGTGTGGGCAGGTTACATTCAGTAGCCTGCCAGTTTGTCCAGAGTAAGAATGAGATAATCTTATTAACTAATCATTACATAGGAAAATATAAGTAATATATTGTGAACTAAAATAGGGAGGCTTCGTTTTTACAGTTTTATGATTGATCCATAGATGATGATCAGTTTGATCAGCTTTAGGGAAGCATGTCACCTGTGCTGGGCCAGACTGGAGTACAGCAGGTGGGCCCTTATTTTACATGTGGCCAACCCAGGTTCCCCAGCACTGCCAGGAATGAGCCTGTGGAGAGTCACACTGAGCACTGCCAGGTACGGCTCCAAAACCAAACCAAACCAAACCAACCAACCAACCAACAAAATGCAAGTCTTGGGCCCAGGACTGCTTCACAACATGCCCAGTGACTTAGCAATGCTCTGATTCTGGTTATCTCCTAGACTTTCCCTGAGAAAACAGAATAAAGCAGCTCCCCAACTTCCAGGTCTCCCCTTAAACTAAGTGTATCCGAGCATGGGGTGATTTCAGGGGGTATCATGTAGTATTGCAAAGCTGGCGATTCTAAAGAGGCCACATTGGATTTTTGTTTACTTTCACTGGGGGGAGGGGTTGGGCTCTGCATGCTCAAGATCTACTCTGAGCACTAAGCATTCAGTGGTGCTTAGGATTCTGTGTGGTTATGGGGATCAAACCCATGTCAAGCATGTGCATCAGCCCTTTGAGCCAACTTCCTGGCCCCAATATATGTCTTTTAAGCATCAATGTTCTAGAATTTTAAGTGTATTGGATTAATCATGAGCAACTAGATACAGTCCAGGGCAGAATTGTCACTTTCGTGTTGGTATGGTTGAGTTTCCTCACCTATCAGAAACCAACAGAGGTTAGAAGCCAGAAGTTATCATACATTATCCAGATTATTAAATGTCCAAAAAAGAGTTTCCTTTGCCCTCATTTCTTATTCACTTATGATCTTTCTGCTAAGTTCCAGCCACCTCCAAACAGAGGGTTTGATTGTTATAGAAGCAAAAGTGCTTTCACACATGGCCAGAGAGGGGCAGCCAAGTTCCAAGTCCCTCTTGGAGAGTCTGAAGGCCAGAGAGGAAGGAATAATGAAGGGATTCCAGGGATTTTAACAGATTGGCACTTCTTGCTACTGGTCATCAAAAGCGCAAGGAATTTGAGAAGGTCCTTGATTCTGAAAATGAGACTCCCTTAGACACACAATGAAATCATAACATCTACGAGAAGTCAAGAGCAAAAAGTTAGTTGAGAGATTGAATTTCAACATCTCTGAAAAATGAGTGTAGCAGATGGAGAGGCTCCAGCAGGGCTGATATCTTGGAAAAAAGAGGTTTTTATTTTTATTGCAAATGCAATCAAGGGACTCAAATTATAATCTATCCCCTCTGCCTTTGGTCATCTCAAATTTCTCTAATCACATTAAGATGGGAAACTCTTCTCCTTGCCAAAGGAGTAGATTGAATGCGTGTTGCAAAGCGGAGGCCAGGGGAAAGCTGTGTGTCCACAGTACAGAAAGTACGAGAAGGAACGAACGACAAGCTCTCATTTCTGAACCTTTGCATTTCTGTTGTTCTAGGTCCTGGCAGCAGAGGGGGAAATGAATGCCTCCAAGTCTCTCAAGTCGGCCTCCATGGTCTTGTCCGAGTCTCCCATAGCTTTGCAGCTGCGCTACCTACAAACATTGACCACTGTGGCCACCGAGAAGAATTCCACCATCGTGTTTCCTCTGCCCATGAACATACTGGAGGGCATAGGTGGTATCAGCTATGATAACTTCAAGAAGCTTCCTAACCGAGCTTGAGGGCCTCTGCTGCGGGTGACATGCTTAGGGAGTTGGATCTATTTCCACGGAGAGTCCAGCAGCTAGGAGTGTGGAAACTCTCAACACAATTCGGGCAGAGCAACTCCACGCTAGTGTAGCGTTAGCAGGCAATCATGTGGTAGAGGCATCCCCAAACTAAAAGAGAGCAGAAATAAAGGCTGGATGCTACTTCTCTATTCAAGAACAACAATGACTTGGCTGTGGCTGATGTGTAGCAGGAGTTTTCTTTGACGTAGAAGGCGGGACTCTGGGTGACTGCAACTGAGATTTCAGAATTATTTAAATTATTCGAAGTTCTTTGAAATACTTTAGATCATATATCAAGTCATATAGGTCTCCTATTTGTGATAGATATTGACTTGATTATTTCAAAGTCATGCCTTGATGTTTCTAATCATTATGATGCCTCCCTTCCTCCAATTTCCAGCCCCACCCCTACCTTCCGGCCCATGATAGCTTAAAGTTTGGGTGATATGAGTTGGGGTGTTAGGCAAGACTTTAGGTCACCGAAACTCTTAGACTCCTACTGCAGACTCACCACCCCACACCTCGCCCCCTCAGGGGCAGACTGCACCCACTCTTGGCCTTTGTTTCCTTGCTACTTGCTCTCAGCTGAGTGGTGACTTATTCTTTGACCCCAGCTCCTGTCTCCCAGGTGGGCTGAGTCCTCTGGACACAGCAGTGGACAGGCGCTTTATCTGCATTAATGTGAGACATCTAGCAATGTGTTTCCCTGGGACCTTCAACTTCTCATTGCTGTTAGTTCTGACAGCGACAGTAACCAAGAATTGTTTGCACACTCATCTCCTGCTCCCTGCTGTGGGGTACAAACTCTGTTAGAAATAAAGAATTCATAGAATTGAGTCACTGTCATTGTTCCTATCCTCCCATTGTTCATTGATTTGCTCGAGCGGGCCCAGTAACATTGTGAGACTTGTTACTGTGTTTGGGTATCGAATACATCACGGGGAGCTTGCCAAGCTTTGCCGTGCAGGTGAGATACTCTTGGTAGCTTGCAGGGCTCTCTGAGAGGGGCGAAGGAATCGAAGGCAGAGGAATTGAACTCTGGTTGACCAGGTCGGCCCCTTGCAAGGCAAATACCCTACCTGCTGTGATATCACTCCAGCCCATAGAATTGAATATGTTAAAAAAAAACCTGTCTTGTTGGGGATTCTTTGCTTGTCTGATACACCATTCTTCTCTCTCTTCCGTGTCTGGGGTCACTGAGCTCACCCCTTCCAGACTGGCAGAGCTGAACAAACAAGTCAGGAAGCTGCGAACTCAACTTAATTGAATATTCCCAATCTCTCTAATCTTAACCGATGTCCTCAAAATGGTTCAGAAAATTCCATTTCTCATCACTACTTGTCTAATGGATAAATTACTCAAACCAATCAGACAGCTTAGAAATTAAGGAACCATCTGAGTTCCTTTGTCCAAACTCAAGCTGTCCTTCAATTTTAGTTTTCCCCTAATGTTGTCGTACCTAGTACACTCCAGCACGTGCCTTTTCTGTCTGAGAACTTATGTGTTTTGTGTCTTTAACAACTCCATGCTGCATCTAACTGCTGTTTATCATTTATGGTCTTCTAGAACTTTCCATATGTTTTGATTCCCCAACTGAGCTTTCCTTAAACGTTTTGAGACCTTTCTGTGCAGTTGGTCTAATTCATTTAACAATAACATATCCCTCCCTGGTCACAATCAAGATCATCCTGTTGTTCGTCGATTTCCTTGAGCAGGCACCAGTAACGTCTCCTTCATCCTAGCCCTGATTTTTTAAAAAGTGCCATATTCAACGCTCTTTCAGGATTAGGAGAATGAGACCCATCATTGTTACTGGTATTTGGCATATTGAGTATGACATGGGAACTTTGCCAGACTCTGCCATGTGGGTAGGATACTTTTGATAGCCTGCCAGGTTCTCCAAAGAAAAAATAAGATAATAAGATGGAGCTGGGTTTTATAGTCTCTGTGTCTTGGCCGTTGATGGGACCAACCTGGCGCTGGCGGCAGCTGGTGGGTGTGACACCTACCTACTGGAAGATGAGGGGGTCTGGGTGGAGAAGGCCCAGTCCCAATACGAGTAGGCTTGGAGACCTCAGCCCCGGGACCCGCATGCCTGGGTTCCTCTGCCAGTTCTTTCATGCATGAGGCCCATCGGACGTGTGGAGAGTGCTCCCAGCATGGCCATGGCTGGCTCCGGAGGTCCTCAGCTGGTGGAGCTCTGCTCGGGGCGCCGGGGGTCAGGGAGAGAAACTCAACCCTCCCCCCTCCAAGGGGCCCCGGTGAGGACAGCCAGGCACGGGGGCAGGAGACTCCCTCCCTGATATGTAAAGTTTATATAGTATGGATCTTCTAAATTCACTACTTAGATAATGCCCCCCATTAGAAAGGAGGTGGCCAACTCGTGGAAACCAAATGGTGATAATGAATATGATGAATGTCAGAAAGAGTCCTGGGAAGGAACACCACAGAAGGAGCTCTTCACATTTAATTTTTTTTGTTTTTGTTTTTTGGGTCATACCCGGTGATGCACAGGGGTTACTCCTGGCTCTGCACTCAGGAATTACTCCTGGTGGTGCTTGGGGGGTCATATGGAATGTTGGGAATCAAACCCAGGTCGGCTGTGTGAAAGCAAGTGCCCTACCCATTGTACTATCACTCCAGCCCCACATTTAAATTTTTGAGAGCGCATGTGCAGCAATGCTCAGTGATTATACCTGGCTTGGTGCCTGAGGGTCACTCAGTGTGGTGCTCGGGATGGAATCCAGACCTCCTGCATATAGAGCATATATTCCAGTTCAAAGCTCCCTTCCTGGCCCCTGACATTGTATAAATATATTACAAGTTGCATTTTATAGTGATAGGAAGAAGTGTTTTTTTTTAAATTTATTTATTTATTTATTTATTTACAGTTGTAGATTTACAATTTTTTTTGTGCTTGGGTTTCAATTATACAATGATCAGATACCCATCCCTCCACCAGTGCCCGTTTTTCACCACCATGGATAATATCCCTCCCACCCCCATCCCCCCATCCCCCCCTGCCTCTGTGGCAGGGCAATCCCCTGTGTTCTCTCTCTCCGTTTGGGTGTTGTGGTCTGCAAAAGAGGCATTGAGTGGCAAACATGTTCAGTCCATAGTCTAAGAAGTGTTTTTGGATGGAGAGTTGACGATAATGTAATGTAGAGACTTTTGGTAGAAATTTACTGATTTGAATCTAGTCTAATCAGAGATCCATACTGTGTTCATACATTTCCCTGAACCTTATGAAGCAAGTACTTTGAATTTCTATAGCCCAGAATGTCTTCCTATATTATAGGATTTTACCACAATAGAATCTATTTCCTTGACCATGTTTCATACTACTCCAATCTTTATAATAGGGGAAATATATAAAAATGAAAGAAAACTTACGTTTCAGAAATCAGCTCTATCAGAAATAGTTAAACCAATTTTGCCTCTCCTTCCCCCCTTTTTGTTGCTTTGTTCCTTAATTTGTTTAAAGAGATTAAAATAAAATAAAATTTGGGGGATTTAGCTCAGCAGTAGAGTATTTGCCTTGCATGCATGTAAACCAGCTAGGGTTCAATCCCCAGTACTGCAAAGCAAAAAGAAAATGCATAATTGTTAGGCAGGTCTGCTAGAACTGCTTTCATGAATGCTGGGAAAGTTATACTCCCAGAGAATAGGAGACAGGGTTTCAGGTGCTCGTTTACCAGCATTTCAGAGGAACAAATTTTGCCCCTTAAACTTACAGGAATGATCCCTACTTATCCTCTTCCAAACCTCCTCCAATGAGTCAGCACACTAACTCATTGCTAGAAAGTCAGGGCACTCAAGACTTAAGACAATTCCTCTCCAAGAAACAAGCACAAGAGTGTTTTCAGGAATTTTCCATTTTCTTCATCATCATCATCATCATCATCATTTTACCTGATAACATAAAAAAATTTCTGCCAGCATAATTTTTGCTTGCTTGCAACTTTGTAATATCTGCTAGAAGGGTTCAAGAGATAGTACAGAACTGGAGTGATAGATAGGACAGTGAAGTCGTTTTCCTTGCAAGTGGCCAAATCAGGTTTGATACCTGGCATACCATGTGGTCCCCTGAGCACCACCAGGAGTAATTCCTGAGTGCAGAGTCAGGAATAATCACTGCGCAACCCCGGAGTCACCCAAAAAACAAAATAAGTAAATAGTTTTAAAAAAGAGATAGTACATGAGATAAGGTGCTAACTTTGCACAAAGCTGACCCAAATTTGATCTCTGGCACTGCGTATGGTCCCCTGAGCACAGCCAGGAGTCATCTCTGAGTAGAGAGTCAGCAGTAAGTCCTGAGCTGAGCACTGACAGATAAGACCCTCCAAACCAAACGAAACCAAACCAAACCAAAACCTGGCACCAAACAAAATTCCCCAAAAACATAAACGCCGAAACAAAACATTGGCGAAAGGAAACTTCTTTCTCAGTGCTCAAGTGATAAAAGAAACTTTCTAACTGGATAATAACTTTGTCAATCAGTTTAGGGGAAAATAAAAAGCAGGAGGCAAAAGAGAGCACTACAGAGCACTCAGAGGGCCGAATCTGCTTTCCCATTTCTATCTATCTGTCCTGGCCCTCCTTTGGGTTGTGAAAGGAGTGAGGGTTATGGGAATGGTTTCTTATTTTGGACCTTTCAATAAAGATTGGAATGGGGGGCAGGGAAATGACTGTAATAACAGGAAATAAGATTAGCAATTAATGTTAGCATGAGGAGATAGTTAAATTAGGTTGGAGACCTTTTTACGTCTCTCTTGGGTATTTGATCCTTTTATTTATTGCCTTATAAAATGAAGCTATTAATTAGGAAGTTTGCTGAGGAGCTTCTCCTTTCAATGGCCAAAAAATTCATTCACTTCAGATTTTTCCTGAAACATTTGAAAAAATCCACCCATCCTCCTGCTGCTTCTCAACCCCCTTGGTCTCTAGAATTTAAGCCATGTGACCTTTGAGGAAGATGTGGGTTCTGTCCTCATCAACAATGGAGCCATATGTCAGGCCTGCTTTGGTGATTGTATGTTTCATGATGCCATATATTTCCAACTCATGTTTTCTCATGGTCTCAATTTGGAGGAATGCATGGGGAGCTGTTTTGATCTCTTTTTGTTTTCACCCTTCTCCAACTATTCCTTTCTTACTGAATGTCCT